TTTTTCTAACACAAGGTATACACATGTATTTATAAACTATGTTACCAGGAAGGATGCTTTGAGAATCCCCTTGCTTTCAAGTATGTCCTAGGGAGCACATACAAATACAATGTTGCATATATTATGTATATGTGAAAACATATTAGCTAAAGAAAAAAATTAAATGGAAGCACCCTTATTATAACAATCAAGTAAACAAATTACTAGTTAATCAATTAAGCATTGTACAGCGCATAGAACAATATGGGATATATTATAGATCCATATGCTTAACTATAAAGTGTGTCACAGTGACTCAAAGGGTGTAAATAAGTAAAAGGAAATATATATATATATTTTATATATACCCTGTGTTCTTTGGCAACTATCCCTGCAGGGATAAAAAAAAAAACAGAGCACTTTCATAGGGCAATATAGTTTTTGTAATATGTGAAACAATCACAGTTGGAGTCTTATAGTTATCACACTAACATTTTTCTGAGCCTGTCTATATAACTGGCTCAGGTAATTCAGATTTTTGGTGTGATACTGGGATTCCACTGAAGTGTTAGGAGTAACTTTATCCTCAATGATAAAAGACAGGAAAGGCAAAACCAGTTAGAGTAAAAATAAGGAACATTTATTTCAAACAAATATAAAAACCTTACATTAAGGTAACTGGTGTGCCACAGTCCAAATTCACAGCAAGCACAACGCGTTTCGACACTCATCCTGGGTCTTCCTCAGGTACATAAATTACTGTATAAAGTTCCTGCTTTTAAATATCTTTTTCCTGCCATATTCGGCACTAATACAGTGTTTACATGAGAAAGGCTGCAGGGAGCTATAGTTCTCACCTGAACAACCTCATTAAGCTGAAATGTTCAGGTGTCTATAGTGTCCCTTTAAGGAAATACCTAAAAAGCTATGGGCATCAAACAAAGAAGATAAAATATCTATTCTTAAATGTAATTACAAATATCAAAATCTATATTTGTTTGAAATAAATGTTACTTATTTTTACTCTAACTGGTTTTGCCTTTCCTGTCTTTTATCATTGAGGATAAAGTTACTCCTAACACTTAGGTGAAATCCCAGTATAACACCAAAAAGCTGAATTACCTGAGCCAGTTATATAGACAGGCTCAGAAAAATGTGTGTGAAAACTATAAGACCCCAATTGTGATTGTTTTACATATGACAAAAACTATGAAAGTGCTCTGTCATTTATACCTGCAGAAACCTGCCATAAAACATAGTGTATATATAATATATATATATATATTTACTTATTTACACCCTTTGAGCCACTGTCAAGCATATGGATCTATAATACGCTGCTCAAAAAAATAAAGGGAACACAAAAATAACACATCCTAGATCTGAATTAATTAAATATTCTTCTGAAATACTTTGTTCTTTACGTAGTTGAATGTGCTGACAACAAAATCACACAAAAACTAAAAAATGGAAATCAAATTTTTCAACCCATGGAGGTCTGGATTTGGAGTCACACTCAAAATTAAAGTGGAAAAACACATTACATGCTGACCCAACTTTGATGTAATGTCATTAAAACAAGTCAAAATAAGGCTCAGTAGTGTGTGGCCTCCACATGCCTGTATGACCTCCCTACAATGCCTGTACATGCTCCTGATGAGGTGGCAGATGGTCTCCTGAGGGATCTCCTCCCTGACCTGAACTAAAGCATCTGCCAACTCCTGGACAGTCTGTGGTGCAACGTTACATTGGTGGATGGAGCGAGACATGATGTCCCAGATGTGCTCAATTGGATTCCGGTCTGGGGAACGGGCGGGCCAGTCCTTAGCATCAATGCCTTTGTCTTGCAGAAACTGCTGACACACTCCAGCCACATGAGGTCTAGCATTGTTTTGCATTAGGAGGAACCCAGGGCCAACCGCACCAGCATATGGTCTCACAAGGGGTCTGAGGATCTCATCTCGGTACCTCATGGCAGCCAGGCTACCCCTGGCGAGCACATGGAGGGCTGTGCAGCCCCCAAAGAAATGCCACCCCACACCATTACTGACCCACTGCCAAACCGGTCATGCTGGAGGATGTTGCATGCAGCAGAACATTCTCCACGGCATCTTCAGACTCTGTCACGTCTGTCACATGTGCTCAGTGTGAACCTGCTTTCATCTGTGAAGAGCACAGGACGCCAGTGGCAAATTTGCCAATCTTGGTGTTCTCTGGCAAATGCCAAACATCCTTCACGGTGCTGGGCTGTAAGTACAACCCCCACCTGTGGACGTCGGGCCCTCATACCACCCTCATGGAGTCTTTTTCTGACCATTTGAGCAGACACATGCACATTTGCGGCCTGCTGGAGGTCATTTTGCAGGGCTCTGGCAATGCTCCTCCTGTTCCCCCTTGCACAAAGACGGAGGTAGCGGTCCAGCTGCTGGGTTGTTGCCCTCCTACGGCCTCCTCCACATCTCCTGATGTACTGGCCTGTCTCCTGGTAGCGCCTCCATGCTCTGAACACTATGCTGACAAACACAGCAGACCTTGCCACAGCTCGCATTGATGTGCCATCCTGGATGAGCTGCACTACCTGAGCCACTTGTGTGGGTTGTAGACTCCGTCTCATGCTACCACTAGAGTGAAAGCACCGCCAGCATTCAAAAATGACCAAAACATCAGCCAGGAAGCATAGGAACTGAGAAGTGGTCTGTGGTCACCACCTGCAGAACCACTCTTTTATTGGGGGTGTCTTGCTAATTGCCTATAATTTCCACCTATTGATAGGCAAAACAGCATGTGAAATTGATTGTCACTCAGTGTTGCTTCCTAAGTGGAGAGTTTGATTTCACAGAAGTATGACTGACTTGGAGTTACTGTCACAGTTCTCACCGCGACATCCTGACAGCCAGACGAGGTCGCCCCAGAAGTGCCCGGTGACGGACTTGAACCTGGGTACATTGCAATCCTGGACCTGCTTTTTGCCTCTGAGTCACTATACAGCTCTAGGATTGCCTGAAGTAATATTGCCTTGTACCCAGCACTGGGGGCTGGACGTTATTCTGTGGCTGCTCCAACAATCTCAGCACACCTGTGGCTGATCACCAATTAGCCAGGTATCAGACACTGCCTCTCCCTGAGGGCAGTGCCAGTTCATTGACTCTGGTTCCCTTGTTTGGTTCCTGTCTTGACATTTCAGCGTTCCAGTTTTTCCTGTCTGATTCCGGCTTCTGACCTTGGCTTTCCTCCTGGACTACTCTGATCTCTGGCTTCCCCTGACTTTGGCTTTCCTTGACTACGCTTCTGCTAATCCCTGCTGTACTGCTACTTGGAGCACTATTCCTGGAAAGCCCCCGTGCACAGACTCACAGATCAGGTGGCGTCTTACCTGGTCACCCTGGTCTGTGTCTACTTTGCAAGGGTGAGCGTATAACTCTGCGAGTTGGACTCCCCATCAGGTAAGACTCCTGACAGTTACATTGTGTTGTTTAAATCCATTTGAGATGTTCCACATTTTACCTACATAAAGTTGCAGCAAAGACTCCAATTTTAATTTAAAAAAAAAAAACATTCAGCTCATAATCAATCGATCAAGTTATTACATAGATATATAGTTATAAAGTAACGTAGGCTGAAAAAAAGAATCAACTCCATCAAGTTGAACCTTTTATACATTTCAGTCCAAAAAAAGGAAAAAAGTCTATACCCTTTTATAGTAGTCATTTTACTCTTTAGATCCACAAGCTGTATCCATACAGTTTCATTTTACCCTTGAACATTCTGGTTTTGAGAAAAAGCATTCAGCTCTTATTTTAGGTTCATAAAATTCAACTAGGAGCAAATACATAAGGGTAAAAGAAAAAATAATGTATTTGTGATATACCAGTGATGTGAAGCAGAATATAATAGATTAGTGGTTCTTTTCAACAAAATCCTCAGGGACAGGCATTCCAGATTGGTAAGTGTTGGCATATTAACCTAATATCAGAGTACATGGAAACATGTAGACAAGCCATACGAAAATATTTTCATTCAATGTTCACTTACAGACTGTGTACAAATTTACACAATGATAATAATCGAAGAGCTGAATAAGAGGTCATGGTCTTAATGATCTAATTTGATGATCTGCTTATTTTACACGTTGGCCTTTATTGTTGGCTTAGAAGTGACTTTCACAAAACTGTCAAGGTCTAAACATCCAAATGCATGACTATCTGCCAAAATGTCACCCTAATTAGCTCCAGTATTGACGTACAAGTTCCCTGTCATCATGACTGTGATGGCCATGACTGGACTTCCCATATATCTAACGAAACAAGGATTGAATTACATGATGAAATAATTACTGTCATTTTGACCTCAATCTTTGATGGATGCTGAGATAAATTGTACTTTTACTTCAAACTCAGTGACATCAATACATTGACATGATGAGTTATAGACATATTAATGAGTATGTATTTTGATGTTGCACTTTTTCTTTATTTTTATATTTGCATTAGAAAATTATTAACCCTTTAATTATTGAACATTCTTAAAAATTTCAAGAAAACCATTTCTTACATGAATGAAACTCGTGAGAAGAAAAAAATCTGGATATAATTTGCGTGTAACAATCTGCATTAAACAGTGTACAAACTATGTGGGATCTGTGGAGTTCACCCCCTCCGCCCCTGGAACTCCTACAGGTGGAATCAATCTAAGAACTAATCACATCTACTCATACTGTTAAGAGATACATTCAGCACTGACTGTCAGAGGTCACTTCAAGTCTCACCCTCACTCACAGCAGTTGTGAGTTGGAGAAAACGTTTAATATTATTCTCAGCCCTTCTAGTGTGCTGGAAGTCACAGCACATTTTTCTTAATATAAATGACAATCTGACTATTTTTTAAACACTTTTTATTGATAACAAACTGTGGTAAAGTGTATTTTATAGTTCTTCTTCTGCAGTGGTATTGTTAGTAGAGATGTCGCGAACCGTCCGCGAACTTCTCGCAAACGGTTCGCCACGGTTCGTGGCGAACTCTGGTCAGCTGACACATCCCGGCCAATCTCCGGCAGACCCTCCCTCCCAGACCCTCCCACCTCCTGGACAGCATCCATGTTGAAGCTGCCTTCAACATGGATGCTGTCCAGGAAGTAGGAGGGTCTGGGAGGGAGGGTCTGTCGGAGATTGGCCGGGATGTGTCAGCTGACCGGAGTTCGCCACGAACAGTTCGCGGTTCGCGAGAAGTTCGCGGACGGTTCGCGACATCTCTAATTGTTAGTTCAAGTTAAGGCAACATTGAAAAAAAAAATATTTAGTAATGCATGGTGACAAAATATTATCTGAATCTGCAACCTGACAGCAGTGGGTAGCGCAGACTGCATTTATCTCACACTGATATTCACAACCAATGGCCCTGCAAACCTGATTCCAGATCAGTCTTGGAGAGCATTGCACCTACCAACCCCAGGCTCAGTCCATATTTTGCTCATGTAAAACTTTCAGAGGACCTTGCACACACACGTTTTCAGAGAGTACCCCTAGGGGGCTCCAAAACAGGGAGTGCCCCAGTCCAAACAAATCCAGTGGAAAAAAAGTAGGTTTGGGCACACCCAGTAGTTTCTTCAAAAATGTAGACGTTTCAGCCCCCCTGAGCCTTTGTTACGACTTGGCAAAGGTTTATAGCAGCCAAAATGTTGTCTAAATTTTTATACTCCACAATAAAGATTACCTGCTGAAGAAACTACTGGGTGTGCCCAAACCTACCTTTTATTCCATATTTTGATCATCACACACTGCTTATAATCTTCATACGGGTGAGCCTAATCACACCTGGCCCACCCCTTGTTCACACCTATAAAAATATTGACATACTGCCTTTTCAGATTGTTGTGCATTGTGAGGGAGAGAGTGAAATTATGATGTCATAACAACAGTGCACAATGGAACTGTAGGTAAGTCATGAAAGATCAAAGCCATGGAAGGCATAGTGGGTTGTAATAATGACATCCATTAATAGGCACTGTTAAAATACATTTGATTAGAAAAAGATAATCTACACAATAAATGGAGGACAGTCTACCCACAAAAATCTAGTTTTCTCATACACCAAGCATGTCCTGCACACCCCAAGTAATATTGAGTTTAATTGCTGTGGAACACAATGTTAAACTTATACCAGTAAGCACTCAGTGCTTTGAAAAAAAGGACAGAATGATAAAAGAACAAGAAATTGGGTTTCTAATAGTGCCTACCACATCAGGAGAACACCTATGTTTGCATTGAGGTTGGTCAAACATTGACTTTAAAATCTTTTTCTACTGCTACTTCCTCCACACTCTACAAGTTCAACATTAAAGGACCACTAAATGCACCCAGACCACGTCATCTATATTAAATTGTGTTGGTGCAAATTACATTTTAGTTTTAACCCTGTAATGTTTACATTGCAGGATTAATCACACCTCTAGTGACTGGTTCTTGACAGCCAGTAGAGATGCTTCCGCTACAACAATGGAGCAATTAATTGTATGTGTGTGTAGTACTAGTCCACATTAGGGTCTAGTCCCCAGTGCGAATTAGACCATCACAGAAAGAGTTACGTGCGGGAGAGGAAGCGGGCAGCAACACAGAATGAGTATCGCCACTGGAAAAAAAGGTAAGTAAAACTTTTTTTTATTTTTTAAACTATTTTTATTGTAGTTGGGGACGCTGCTAATCATAACAGGGGCAGGTCTTCTATAGCCTTACAACTGCAAGATTGTATTGTAAATGCTTTGTGTTCCTTTAATGTGTTACACCCTGACCAAGCCTTCACAGATACTTTGTTAATTCACCTCATTGCACAGAAAGCACAATTAGGAGTCAGTTGTATTGTTGGACCTATAAGTAGTAGGAGGTAGTAAGATGTGTTTACATGCCTGTCTGTGTAATTGTCTGTTATGTTTCTTTGTGATGTTCTTTGTCTCCGTATCTGTCCTGTTTAAATGCATTTAGAGTATTTTTTCCAGTCCTGAGTCTCTGTCAATCTTCTTCTTTTGTTATACTTGACATAATTTATTCAGGAAGATATATGTGACTAATTTAGAGCAAGAAATAAAAAGAAAAACTGTTTTTTCTTCTACATTTCAGTGAGAAATCTACACATTTATTTATTTTTACTTTTTGTACAACTTTATCCAAATATTTACCAATTAGGCATTAATACAGAAACCAAGGCTATGTACAAGTATGCTTATAATGTTCAAAATAAATTCATAGAAAAATGAATAACTTAAATTGGGTATGTTTTCCTTATATTGTGAGAATATTTATGGGGTGTGGAATTTGAAGTACACACCTATATACACAGAAACACACATACACAAACACACACACACAAAACATACAATAATGCAACAAATCCAGATACTTTATGATATGTTTAATATTGTCATTTATTAGTCAATTAAGATTCTCTTAGTAAAAGGAAAATACATGTTGAAAGAGGAACTGTCTCAGACCATACAAACACATGCAAGGAGACAGCTGTGCACTAGGAGCAAACATTTATACAGTCAATGCAAAGGTAAGGTATAGACAAATTGCTCCTATAACATTATCCAGGTGAACATACATTCCCTGTTGTTGGATAAAAGATATGCTTAACATACATATGTGTGTGCTCAACCTTTAAGACTTTAATCTGGATCAGGAAACGTCTCAGTATTCTTAAAGATTGTGGACAAACAATGATACAATGTCTACATGCATAAATCATTACTTTACACTTCCAAATTAAAGCAATCAAAATTTGGAGACACATTTATATATCGGAGCATCAAATATCCTGAATTGTCATCAAAATATTAATTCTTGTAGGCACCATACGGTTGTAATATTGGTCATCCTGGAAATCCTGAGAAAAAAGAACTTGAAGCATTAGACTTGATCATTTTTATTACAGTAACCTTAGAATGGTGAAAAAAATAATATACATAATAAGTTATGCACAGTTTCTCTTCATGCACCAATCACAGCAGATAAAAGTAACATAACTATTCAGGCAATCAGCAAGAAAGAGGATCTATACATGTAAAGTAGGGCATAACTAATTAGGATATCCTAATTATTTTTATATTTCTGTGCTGTTAATTGACTTAAATATTCTAAAACGTGGGATCATAGATTGTACAAATGTTCATTTATTATGATAATTTCATATAAATATTTTGAGTTGTGCAGATATATGTAATTTTGTAAAATTAGACATGTAGATATAATGAAACAATGATGAGAGCTCCTAACAATATTACCTTTTCAGTAGTTGTTCTCAATGCTCAAAGTTCTACAATTTACTGATGCCTCAAAGGAGATCTCAATAACAGTAACAAGACTTAGGATGATCATTTTCCCTTTGGTACCCATCAGTGACTAGTTCATGTTATACCAAGAACATTTATATGATTTTTACGTATTATCAGGCAGTAGGTTTAAGGCCTTCCAAGAGAACAAAGAATGCCTAAACATCTCGAAAAATGTCAGTGTTAACCCAATGTGCTCTGCACCAGGACTTCTTACTAACTTATTCTGCCTCTAAAAAAACGTTGAGGAACAATTTCAGGAGATTATTTCCAGTTTGAAGATATTACTACATATCTCCATACCTCTTGTGTGGACCACTGGAAGTGCCTGGTTTTATCCAATATCTTGTAAAAATTTGATAGTTATAAACTATACTGCATCATTTTGCTGTTTTCTGTTTCTACATCTTAAAAGGTGCATTGATCATCAAAGAAAACAGTTAAGTAAACATACCGCTGATGGGGAGACAAGCTTGAAAATCTCTTATCCTTGTGAGTGTATGTTTATACATTACCATCTACTTGATGTGTTATACTGTATTACACTATGTGCAGTTTATTTTGCCATTTCTAGAGACCTCTACTCTACCTGGAGGGCTCCTATTTATACACATCAATATACAGGTTGTATATATTAAATTCTGGTTTTTGCTGTTGGTTATTTATATAATAAATACCCTTGTCTTTTTATTTGGTTTCCATCAGGTCTGGTGCAAGGATTTTTGCTGTCCTAGGCAATCAATATTTAGATGCCCCATCACTCCACTAGCTGAATGGCATCACACACACCCAACTCCATATGCTCCCAATTGGTGTGACATCATAATGTCTCACCGTAAAGACCCAACACACACATTCTCACTGACACACACTAGCTCACACTAGCTTGATAAAGACCTATTAATAGGTTGAAACATTGCCTTTTTTTTCTCATTCAATAAATCTGCCTGTGGCTGAAGATTTTATTCTTGTTTTATCATACATGTTTTGGATTTGCTGGTCCTGCTTCGGAGCATCCGGTTTTAAGTGGATTTAAATGCAGTTCCTTTTTTTCTGTTTTACACACTAGCTCACTGGCACAAACACACATTCAGTCATAAGCACTCTGAAACACACAAGCTGACTACACGCAACTTCACAGACATAGAAAAGTTCACTACAGAAAATTTCACTTACTGTACTTACTATAGAAACACATACAAGCTCACTTTAGAGAAGCCGACACTGACACACACACACACAAACTAAGTGAAACACACAAACACAAGTTCACTGATGCACACATCTTAGCTCACTATATACCAGCTCACACCTACGTACAGACAAGCTTACTAATGCACACATACAGACACAAGCTCATTACATACAGACTTACTGACACACAGACACAGACACACACACACAATCTCACTGGCATACATACATTCACTGGTGCTGCTGTTTAGAAAATAAATCCTGCTTTACCACGGACAGGATTGTGATTGTGCCAGACTGCAGCTGGCGTTCAAATTGAAGAGCCTATTGGGACAGATACTCTGGGCTACCAGGTGTGCTGCCTACCACACATCCTTCCATGATCCTGCCCTCTCATATCTGCCTACCTGCAGGGCAGGGGGTGATGTGCATGGATGCTGTGCCTGTGTGCTGCCTAATGGAATGGGAACTAGATGCAGGCAGTGTGGTATGTGCTGGGCACCAGCGGCACACACTTAAATAGTTTAGCATTGAGTGAGTAATGATTGTGCCATGGCCGCTGGCTGGCATCCTGAATTTTACCATGTCTCTGACCATTTCATCAATCCATTAATGGGTCTCTCTGCATGACCCAGTCGCCCGTGCAGATCCAGACACCATTACAGCTGCATGTTTGCCCTAGGCCTATGTGGCCTAATGGAAGCAATGGCCCTAGTTTCCATATAGTAAACTTTACCTGATAATTGTTTTGCAATGTTAAATCTTTTTGTTTTCATACAAAAATGTTTTATTTTAAATTTAACCAATGAAAAAAATGTGGTTAAAATGAAACCTGCTGCTTAATTTGAAACACAAATTACAGCATAGATTGAAAAGGGGTCAACACTGTTGATTCCATCAATTCATGACCAAACTAAACAGATGTGTGGGTTTTGTGGTATAAAAGCACAATAAATTGCAGGTTCCATTCATATATTTTATAGTTTATAACTGCAGTTGAAAATAATCATGTTTGATTGAAATTTCATCTTTGTTCAGACACTGTGTAGAAGGATGTAGGTTTATAATAAACTCAAACTAATTATATTAAAAAAGAATTGAAACTTTGTTAAAAATACATAAAATAATTGACTGGCAGAATACATAATGTCCCCCCACAAATGGTCAGAAAACTTTAACAATAAATTGGGCTTGTCATCCAAGAGAATGATGAACTAATATGAAAAAGATAGAAAGGGATGGAAGAGAAAAGACAAGAGTTAAACTAGCTCAAATGGGGGAGAACCATCTTGACATGCTTGAAGGCTGGGATTATAGCAGTAATGCGTGACAACCAACTAAGACTGCTCATCAAACAAACAAAGAGTGTACACACAAACAATACAAATTAGGCTCAACACTTATGTGGAGGATCCCCTTAACCTTCACAAACACCAATAGTCCAAAACAAAGAATATAAGTGGAGCTCTATAGTACCTGGGATACTTGAATATATGGCAGATGTATTCAATAATATGCCTTTACAATAACCTGTAAATAATATATAACATATACATAGTGCAGATGGTATGAACTATATATAAATAGTGAATAAGAGAAATTTAAATAAGGGAGGTAATTCACAACTCACAAGAGTAGAGCCAATAGGTCACCTGGCTCTAGTGTGAAGCGCTCTGAGATCTTATTAGGGGAGATCAACTACCCACTGAACGTGTATCCTTCTGGTTTCTTCCTCCTTTGTGTATATCAAGCAGACAGGAAGGTCCCAATGATGAAAGGATCATCTGCACTATGTATATATTATATATTATTTACAGGTTATTGTAAAGGCATATTATTGAATACATCTGCCATGTATTCAAGTATCCCAGGTACTATAGAGCTCCACTTATATTCTTTGTTTAATACTGCTCATGGCCAGTGAACTGTTCTTGCGGGGACAAAAATGGCCATACACAGCTTCAGTGCATTTCACATTTCATTCTGTGTAACACTGGCTACATGACCGATATTTATGTCCAGCATGAGTTACACTAAACAACAGAGCTAGGAACTAACAAAACTCATTAGGCTTACTAGAAATATACCCCAGCCACCAGTCATCATCCAAACCAGACACTGTGCAGGACCTGCATACCTCCTAAAGAAGTTGGAAGAATTATAGAGGCAAGAGATCACAAGTAAGTTTCTCTCTCATCCATTTCACACATTTATGCAGAGACACTTTAAAAGTAAGTTTAATCGCATAAAATGCAATAATGAATTGATCCCCTAACCTCACTGTTATGAATCATGTTGCGAATGATTGAAATTGTATCTGTACATCGTGCTGGAAAAATTACTTGAAAATGTATAACTGAAATAATGCCACATCTCAGAAATCATCAGATCCTACATGATTCAACTGGGGGGCAGGACGGTTGTTCTGCTGACCTATACAGGGAGTGCAGAATTATTAGGCAAGTTGTATTTTTGAGGATTAATTTTATTATTGAACAACAACCATGTTCTCAATGAACCCAAAAAACTCATTAATATCAAAGCTGAATATTTTGGAAGTAGTTTTTAGTTTGTTTTTAGTTTTAGCTATGTTAGGGGGATATCTGTGTGTACAGGTGACTATTACTGTGCATAATTATTAGGCAACTTAACAAAAAACAAATATATACCCATTTCAATTATTTATTATTACCAGTGAAACCAATATAACATCTCAACATTCACAAGTATACATTTCTGACATTCAAAAACAAAACAAAAACAAATCAGTGACCAATATAGCCACCTTTCTTTGCAAGGACACTCAAAAGCCTACCATCCATGGATTCTGTCAGTGTTTTGATCTGTTCACCATCAACATTGCGTGCAGCAGCAACCACAGCCTCCCACACACTGTTCAGAGAGGTGTACTGTTTTCCCTCCTTGTAAATCTCACATTTGATGGACCACAGGTTCTCAATGGGGTTCAGATCAGGTGAACAAGGAGGCCATGTCATTAGATTTTCTTCTTTTATGCCCTTTCTTGCCAGCCACGCTGTGGAGTACTTGGACGCGTGTGATGGAGCATTGTCCTGCATGAAAATCATGTTTTTCTTGAAGGATGCAGACTTCTTCCTGTACCACTGCTTGAAGAAGGTGTCTTCCAGAACTGGCAGTAGGACTGGGAGTTGAGCTTGACTCCATCCTCAACCCGAAAAGGCCCCACAAGCTCATCTTTGATGATACCAGCCCAAACCAGTACTCCACCTCCACCTTGCTGGCGTCTGAGTCGGACTGGAGCTCTCTACCCTTTACCAATCCAGCCACAGGCCCATCCATCTGGCCCATCAAGACTCACTCTCATTTCATCAGTCCATAAAACCTTAGAAAAATCAGTCTTGAGATATTTCTTAGCCCAGTCTTGACGTTTCAGCTTGTGTGTCTTGTTCAGTGGTGGTCGTCTTTCAGCCTTTCTTACCTTAGCCATGTCTCTGAGTATTGCACACCTTGTGCTTTTGGGCACTCCAGTGATGTTGCAGCTCTGAAATATGGCCAAACTGGTGGCAAGTGGCATCGTGGCAGCTGCACGCTTGACTTTTCTCAGTTCATAGGCAGTTATTTTGCGCCTTGGTTTTTCCACACGCTTCTTGCGACCCTATTGACTATTTTGAATGAAACGCTTGATTGTTCGATGATCACGCTTCAGAAGCTTTGCAATTTTAAGAGTGCTGCATCCCTCTGCAAGATATCTCACTATTTTTGACTTTTCTGAGCCTGTCAAGTCCTTCTTTTGACCCATTTTGCCAAAGGAAAGGAAGTTGCCTAATAATTATGCACACCTGATATAGGGTGTTGATGTCATTAGACCACACCCCTTCTCATTACAGAGATGCACATCACCTAATATGCTTAATTGGTAGTAGGCTTTCGAGCCTATACAGCTTGGAGTAAGACAACATGCATAAAGAGGATGATGTGGTCAAAATACTCATTTGACTAATAATTCTGCACTCCCTGTACATACCCAGACGTCAGGTAGTAGGAAGTGATTTGTAGTGGTAATTTTAAATCGGGCTGGTAGCACAGGACATGGAATTTTGAGCCCTGATCTGTGCTATTTAACAAGTACAATTCTTCTCTGAACCAAATTTCCATAAATCTAGTTATAAAAAGACTTTAATCTAAGAGCTCTTCTTATAAGGATCTAAACAGATACAAAATAGGAAGCCAATCAAAGAAAGCTGCCAAGAGACAGTTATGACAAGTGCTTTCATTGCAAATATTTTAGAAACTGCTGAACTAAACTATTAATATATTATCACACAGACTTGTTTTTACCCTATTTACTAACGTAAAGTATATTTAAAGGTCTGTTCTATGTTAGCCCCTTAAAAAATTTGCCAACAAACATTTTCAAAAAAAATGTAATTCTGACACATGGGATGCACAAGTAGCACATAAATATTCAATAACAGTAGATTGCTTACACAATAGAAATGAAATGAAAATGAATCCAAGTTTAATTTTTAATGCATTTTTTCACCGTTAACATACACTTTGCAGGTTTGTTTATGGATGCATGTGACTACCCTTCTCTTCAGAATTTGAAATACTACCATACAAGCAAAAATACATTTTTTTTTTCTCAGGCACAGATGCACATAAAGCTGATGTGTTAAAAATAGATAGATTGAGGGATAGGGCAGGAAAATGGCAGATGAGATCAAATAGAGATAAATGCAAAGTTATGCATTTTGGAATAAGAAATCCTGAAGTCACTCATACATTAAATGAGATTGAGTTATGGATAACATTAAATGAAAAGGACTTAGGAACGATAATAGATCAAAAACAAGGCAACAGTATGCAATGCCAATCTGCCATTGCAAAAGCTAGTAAGGTGCTACCTTGTATAAAAAGGGGTATTGATACACGTTATCAAAATATATTGTTGCCTCTTTATAAATCAGTGGTAAGACCCTACCTTAAATATGCAGTGCAATTTTGTTTTTATAGAAGGATATTGCAGAACTAGAAAAAGTACTAAGGAGAGCTACAAAAAATAATAAGGAGAATGGAAAACATTAGTTGTGAAGCACTAGAGAAATATACACAAAGTCAGTACAAGCAGCTATGTGCTTGCCTTGTTCATTAGTAGGAATGTACAACAGAAAAGAGGTCATTCATTGAGACTGGAAGGAAGGTGTTTTCGCTTACAGCAGTGGAAAGGGTTCTTAATAGTGAGAACAATAAAGATGTGGAAGTCTCTGCTTAAAGAGGTTGTCTTGTCAGATTCTTTTCAAATTATTTTTATAGATTTTTTTTTAAAAGGCTTGGATGCTTTTCTGCTCTTTTGTAAACAAATAATATTCAAGGATATAATTTGTATGCATGTAAACAGGTTGTTGATCCAAGAAGAAATCTGATTGCTATTATAGAGTCAAGGATGAAATGTTTCCCTTTTTGTGGCATAATTTGAAATAGCTACAATTGGGTATTTCCTTCTTTTGAATCAATAGCATAAAATACGGAAAATTTTCTCCATACTTACCGTAATTTTTTTTTCCTGGCTATAATTCATGGCAGCATCACTAATGGGTTAGCTCCGCCCCTAACAGGAACAGGACAGGAAACTATTAATCAATTATAACCAGACTGTAGGTATAAAAGGTCCCTCCTCCCTCTAACCCACAGTCTAGTATAAAGCTAAATAAAAAAAATAAAGAAAATTGGGAGGGTTGCTGATGCTGCCATGAATTATAGCCAGGAAAAGAAAATTACGGTAAGTGTGGAGAAAATTTTCTGTATTCCTGGCCATTCATGGCAGCATCACAAATGGGTAATACCCAAGCTCTGCAACAAAGGGAGGGTGAATAAAAAGAGACCCCAATAAGTTTGCTGCAAAAAGAGATTTATTCATGAGAGATTCACTGATGACAAAACCCCTCTACCGAAGGATGAGGAGGAAGAAGCCACATCCAGCTTATAATGTTGATGAAGGTTATAGGTGACGACCAGGTGGCTGCCCTGCATATGTCGTCAGGAGGAACCTCTGCCCAGTTAGCCCATGATGTAGCCAATGCTCTGGTAGAATGGGTCTTTATCTTTTCCAGAGGAGAGAGATTCTTGAGTTTATATGCCATTTTTATGGTGTTCGAAACCCATCGCCTTAAAGTAGCAGTAGAGGCCGCCTCTCCCTTTCTGTATCCTGACGGGATAAGAAATAAGTGCTGCGATTTTCTAAATAGTTTAGAGACCTCTATATATTTTATTACACATTCCCTTAAATCCAACTGATGGAGTTTAACTTCTTCCGAAGAAGAAGGGTTTTGGTAAAAAGAAGGGAGAATCACTTCCTGTGCCAAGTGAAAACATGAAACCACCTTAGGAATTCCATTCTAGGTCTTAAGATAATTCTATCATGGAAAACCTGAACGTGATTTGGATCACTGGAGAAGGCTTGAATTTCAGACATTCTTTTAGCCGTAGTGATTGCCACCAAGAACAAGGTCTTGTACATCAGATTAATTATACCCAACTCATCCAAGGGAGCAAAGGGAGAGTCTGACAAAACATCCAGTACCAAAGGAGGTCTTATGCGTATAGCTGCCTTAAAGAACCTCGCAATGATATGGTCTGATGCCCAGGAGGTGTTACACAGAGCCGTCAAGCTGATGACTACTTTTAAAGTACTTAAGCACAGGCCCTTCTCCAGACCTTCATGTAGAAATTCCAGAATATCTATATTTGAAGGTTGTAGGAAATTCTTGGATTTCTTTTTTGTCCATTATTGAAATAAATCCCATATTCTGTGGTAACACGCGGAGGTGGAATTTTTTCTGGATTTTAACAGTGTATTCACAACAGGTTCTGGTAATCCCTGCTCTATAAGTCTCTGCTTTTCAAGAGCCAAGCCCCCAGTTTCCATTGATTTGGGTTGGGATGTATCACTGGACCTTGTATTAACAGATCTGCTCTCTGAGAAAGAGGCCATGGAGGACCTAAGCACATTTTGTTCAGGAGTGGGAACCACGGTCTTCTCGGCCAGCTTGGAGTTACGGCAATCACTGTCTTCCGTTCCTTCTTAATTTTTCTCAACAACCTGTGAATCATTGGCAGGGGAGGGAACGCATACCCCAGATCGAAGTCCCAGGGAAGGGAAAAGGCATCTTGTCCTGCTGACTGATATTCTGCCTTTATGGAAAAATACTTCGGGACTTGAACATTCCGATATGAAGTCATCAAATCGACCTGGGGTGTGCCCCACCTTAACGATATCTGATGAAATACCTCTGGGTGTAATTGCCATTCTCCTGATTGAATCATTGTTCTGCTCAGATAGTCTGCCAGAACATTTTCTTTTCCTGGAAGATATACCGCTTTCAGGCCCTGTAGGCTGTTTTGAG